ATGACCCTGTTGCTCCACATTGTGACATGTCAGGAATTTATTCATGACAGGTACTCTTGTTGCAATGCTCACTATTTAGCAGGACAAAGCTTACTGCTTCTCAGGTTAAAAATACAATTCCTTTCCATCCCATGTAAATTTAGAGCGGTGACAATTCAGCCGAATGTTTTGGTGTTCTTGCGGGTTGTGGGGACACTTCCTTTTTCCTTCACAAGAACACAAATTCTACGCCTCACACAACCACATGCAAAACGTAGAAGAGGCGACATTTCTCCTTCTCCTTCTTCATAACAAATGCAAGAGATACAATGTGACAACTCCAGAGAACACCGGAGGCAATACAATGTGACAACTCTAGAGAACACTGGAGGGGATACAATGTGACAACTCCAGAGAACACCGGAGGCAATACAATGTGACAACTCTACAGAACACTGGAAGGGATGTGACAACTCTAGAGAACACCGGAAGGGATACAATGTGACAACTCTAGAGAACACCGGAGGGAATACAATGTGACAACTCTAGAGAACACTGGAAGGGATACAATGTGACAACTCTACAGAACACTGGAAGGGATGTGACAACTCTAGAGAACACCGGAAGGGATACAATGTGACAACTCTAGAGAACACCGGAGGGAATACAATGTGACAACTCTACAGAACACCGGAGGGAATACAATGTGACAACTCTAGAGAACACTGGAAGGGATACAATGTGGTCCTTGTCCAGGTGGTGGAGGAACACACAGAGTGTAGCACTAATGAAGAATGGATTATTAATGGAATACTTTTGGATGGATCCGATGATGGAAGCTCAAAGAGGATATCATTCTAATTCCATGCTGATAGATCATTTAAGTGCTTTTTGAGTTAAGGGGTCCAACTCTTCTGATGCGTTCATTGTCCAGGTGGTGGAGGGACACATGGAGTGTTGCACTAATGAAGAGTGGATTATGGTCAGTAGTTTTGAAATACACTTCTAAACATTTCTAGATATAAGTTCATGTCAGGTGACTATAAAACAGCTGCCATAGAACAATCCTCATTCCAATCTTCAGCTGTTTTCGTCTTTTGATTTTATTTCTTTAACAATTCAATTTCGTTTTAAGAGTTCAGTTTCTTTTCTTTTTTTAAGTTAACAGGGAAATCCTCAGGAAACTTCAGTCCACAATGAAAACGAAAACTGTTTCTTCAACTTTTCCTCACTTCAGCATATACAATCTGTGTATCGGGATCCGGCGGACTCTCTTTTTCTTTACGTATAGAAGATACGGAGTGGTTCACAGTAGCGTATACCAAATCTTCACCCTGTCATAGTGTTACATAAAAAATATATAAATGAGACAATATATAACATAATACAATACAATATAATATAATATACAGTATATACTGTATAAATAAATACATCAGTGGTAGACCTCAGCACTCCAGCTGTTTTGGAGCTACAATGCATTGCAAGACTGACAGCCACAGGCATGACTCCCAGAGGCAGAGACATGATGGGATTTTTGGTCCAGCAGGAGAAAACTGGGCAGGGCTGACTATACTATTTGGAATTGCAGTGCAGCAGAGGCAGCGTTGTCAGCTCACACAGTAAGTTAGGAC